AAACAACACAACTTACGAGTTACAATTATAACATTAGATTTTAAAGATACGTAGATACATATATTTCTTGCGAATTAGTACAAGTAGATACAGGACGGAACCCGGTGCGCGTGAATTTATTGTCAAGGCCTAGAATAGAGGTTACTTGGAGTTTTTTTAGATTATTGTTTGAATTACGGGAATAAGAAAAATATTATCAAAATATCTCAAAGGTTACGGTTATGATTTTACGAGGAAGTTGGCGAAGTTTTACGGATAAGTGCGAAGGGGAAAATGTTATATCTTAGTACGAGATGAGAAAAAAGTAGAAGTTAAAGTGGTGGTTTTTTTATTTAAGTTGGGGGAGCTGGGTCACGAATTTAAGAAGAAAAGCTGGAAGGCAACACTCAGATCAATCCAATTAAAATTGGTTCTTTTTTATTATGCACGATTTTTTTTTTCTACAACCGTTATTCATAAGATTTTTTGAGTTTAGTGATTTTACGCGAAATGGATAACCAACAAGTTTTAAAAGACAAGCAGCGGAAAAGACAGTAACGAAAAATTAAAGAAGAAACAAAAACAAATAACAATCTTTTCAATCTTGATCAAAGGCATGTTTTTTGCCCTTATCGCCGGAAGAAGAAGGAGTAGGAACACAATCATCAGATGAAGACAAAGTGGAACACATTAATTGTTGAGCTACAATCATTCTAAAGGTTTTAACAAGGTGAAGACGACAGGAAGCCTCTAAATCAGACGTGGAGTGAAACTTAGCCCAATGATCATAAAGAGAGTTCATCATTAATTCTGAAATAACTACAGCAGGATCAGTAGGAGTAACTTGAGGATTAAAGTTTCCAACACGATTACGTTCTTCGTTTAAATCTATTAGTTGCGTAAACCAGAAGTACTTAGATCTTTCACCAAATTTTTTGTTAAAAGCTTCAATAACATCGTCATAAGATAAAGGAGACAATACAACGGGTTCAGCAGGTGGAGTACCAGGAAGAGAAGGTTCTAAATCAACTATGGTAGAAGTAAAATTAGAAACAGGCTCAGCGGGTGGGATTGGATCAACAGGAGCTTGTACAAAAGGTCTGGGAACTGGGGGTGGTGTTTCTAGAATTATGATAGGAGGAGCTTTTTTACTAGTGGCTTGATCAGCGGATTTTGGCGTGTAAGGGTGACCTTTAGGCTTAGGAGGAGGGCGAGCTCGCGGTTTAGCAGCCGGAGTAACCGGAACAGATGGAGGAAGTGGTGTATTGCCACGATTATTCCAAATAAACAAATCCTCCCGCCACTTAACATGAAGTTTTGGATTACGAGGCTTGTCCGGTTTGGCAGTCCAGGCATGAACTTGAGCACGACGCGCAGCGTCTGTCTCATTAGCACGACCCGGTATATAGGGGTTGGCGTCAGGAGCATCTAAGATGATGTCACCGCTCGCATCGGTAGCAGGCAAGTCCGGCCATTCTGGCGGAGTGGTAAAGAGAAAGACAGCGGAAAAGATAGAAAACGAAGGAAGCAAATGAGTGTAAGGGACATACAAAGAGTATACAACAAACAGAACCAATCGAGCGCAAACATAGAGGAACATCAAGTCAATATCAATATCAGCATAAGAAAAGAATATGTATTAAAAAGTAGAAGAGCAACATAACAAACCACAGTATAAGTTGCGACGGGCACATTGATCACAGCATTGTTGGACAGCCTTAGGTGCGGACTCATACACAATCCACGTACACGGGCGACCGTTCTCAAAACAGACACCACATTTCTCTGGGTGTGGTCTGGCATTGGGGTTGAACATCACTACAAAAGATAGAATGAATATGAAACAAAAGATAGTTATTAGCTAGATCGAAAACAAAAGTTGAAAGACAATGTAAAGCAATAAATAACGTACCTGCAGCTAGTTATAACGAACCTGATCGAAGCGAGCTGATATTTGAGGGTTGGAGTTGAATCTAGTAACGTTAAAACAAAGCATATTAATTAAACGAGCGACAAGGACATCTAGTGAAAGTTGAAACACCAGCATACCTGGTAAAAGTGTTGGTCTAGAGTCTGGTGAAATAAAACAACATCTGATCAAAATAAAAGTTACGAATCACGGGTAGAGTTATAGTTACTATGGAACGGTTAAGACAAGCAAAATGAAAACAAAAGAACTCGCCTCGCTAGTCTTTTGCTTTCAAGAATCGATCAAACAAGTGAATCAAATTTAAAGGACCTGAACGAATAAGAGGAGCCATAAACTATTGGCTCATTTGGGGACAAATGCGAGTTGGGGGAGGATGTGGAAAGCGGAATATACCCTCCTTACTCATCCTCTCTTTATACGCATCTTTTTTAGCGTAGACTTTTTTTATGGGCTCATATTAATTTTTACTCGCAAGCACCTCATCTCACTTTTCAATTCATTTTAATTCAATTTAATTTATTTCCTTATTTCGAAAACAGCTATAAAAGACTAATAATTACAAGGCCAAGAGAATGAAATAAAATAAAGTATAAGAAACAAAAGAAGTAAAGAAGAAACAAGTAAGAAGAAGAAAATCGAAAAATGGAAGGAGAAAGATTAGTTAGTGACTGTACAAGAGAGCTCGGGCGGAGAAGGAGGAAGAGAAACTTGCCTAAGAAAGATATAGAAAAAAAAAACTGAAAGAAGACTTATAGATCGATCTAGAATAAATAGAAGGTCAAGAGAATAAGATTGAATTAATAAAATTGAAACAATACATTAAAGAAGAATAAGAAACAGCTTACCATCGAGAATTGATATCGGTCGGAGCGAAGATTTGGACAGGATATTGAACAAGCTATAAAATCGATCGAAGAGATGAAGAAAGAAAAATAGAAAAGAAAGCAGTTAGTTAGTATTAGAACAAGAAATACAGAAGGAAAAGAGAGAAAGAGGACATACCTGAGAAGAAAGAGAATCGAATGAAAGGAATGAACTAATCGATTGAAATCGAGATGAAGCTAGAGAAGGATGAAAGAAAAGGAAAGCGATTAGAAGTTAGTTAGTAATCAATAAGAAAGAATAAGAAAAGATAGAAAGAAAAGAAACCTACCTTGAGAAAAAAAGAAAGGGAAAAGAATCGAGTCGAGTTGAAGTTTTTAGTGTGGGAGGAGCCAAGCAAATCGGTCGGATGAGGTCGGAGCAAAATAAGAGGGTCGGTCGGAGTTTTGGAGCGTTGAAGGTATATAAGGAGTTGTGCTGAAGGATAGAAGGGGGGCATCAAATCTGTGTGCGTAGTATCTTGTGTGGATCGTATCGTGTAGTTCAAGTGTTCGTATTTGTGTAAGATTCGTGTCCGAGGGTCTGTGTGCGTTTTTAAAAGGGTCATCGAGTGCCCTAGATAGAAGATAAAGAGTTGGAAGATTTTGTTAGTTAAACAATTATCAGATTGAGAAGTGAAAGATTGAAGATAAATGACTTACCTTGTTTAAGAGACTGTTGTGATCAATTATTGTTGTTTTTGTTTTTTTTGTTTTGTTATTGGATTCTGAGCTGTTTGTGCTGAGCTGCGTCGTAAACTGGTCGTGGACTGGTCAAAATTCGGGCTGCTTAAAGCCCAACTCGCCAAACCCGCCTCTTGATCCAAGTCGAGGCCGGGTCGAACAGGTCCCGGGCTACATAGACCGGACCTGTGTGTAATTATTCACACATCGCCATAAGATCTCTAAGATTCGAAATTCACATAACTTCGCATCTCAACGTCGTGTAGAGTCGAGTGTGGTATCATCGGAGTCCGGCAAACCTTGCGGATCCTTTGAAAATCTTAAATTTGTGTTACGGGAGGAATTCGTAGGGAATAGAAAATTGTTAAGAGTTGTTCTAGTTCTTTTCGAACTGCAATAATTTTAAGGTTGAAGGCAGCGTAAAAGCACCGTAGTTTCATCCGCTCTCTCGAGTGGTGATTCTTACCTTCTCCGGCTCAGCCTACGCTACACTGCGTAGGAGTTCTACACCGTGACAACGCCTAACCACCAGCGAAATTTTTTGCATATTTCAGGGCGCTGCGCTGTGTAGCAGTGCACTCGCAGTGCTCTGATTAATCATTGCGGTCAACCATAACACACTGGTTTTGTGCAATGATATAACTGCGGCAACCCGCACTTGTAGCAGGGCTACTTAGCTAGCCTACTCGTTAGTCCTCATACAGATATTGATACTTGTCACACATCCTGTATGCTCTTAACATGTATTGCCATTTACTTATACAAGCCTTTCCAGATGGCACCACATTGTAATACCGGCCATTGTAATAACCGGTCTCAGGGCAACTTGCCTTCTCATTTGTATTCTCTTATAAGGAACACTTCGTTTCCCTTTCTTGAATTCTTCAGACCTCAGACTTCCTTTATTTCTTTTACATTATTAATAATAATAGTTATCATCATCTTAGCCAATCAATTCGATAAACTCCTTTATCTCTTTGATAGTCCACTAAGATACAGTTCCCCTCACTTTTACCTATATCTCGATTTGAGACCAATTCCCTTTCCGGAAATAGCTTAACGGTAAGCACTTAAGAAAGTGCCCGTTACACACTGAAATGCCCAAAATATGGGGTATTGCGCCTTGCATTGCAGGCAGAGTCATCAAATCAAGGGATGAGGTTGAAGGAGGGTGTTTGAGTAAGAATGGAATGTAAAGGAACACACATGAATTTACACAAAGCTTGTAAACATGTACAGGCTCTAGCACATATGTAGTGTGATTTAGCCCCTCCACCAAACTGCCCCTTCACTCAATCTACATATCGAGCACCAACCAATAAGGACCTCCATACCTCAACCGGACAACACCAGCTCAAAGTAGACCGAAGATACATTCAGCAAGGGGCCAAGATGGAAACGAGAAAGACATCAGTATGTGTCCCACATTCTGAATCGGTTGAAAATTTTTTCTTGCTTCGAACAAAGCCTTATAAATACTCACGTTGTTTTTTCCACTCTCTCCCCAGCTGTCTTTCCACTATCAATTTCATCTTTCCTTTTCTGCCATGACTCCTCGTTATAAACCAGGCGCCGCTGCTGCTGCGAACCTCAAGGCAGCCAACCAAGCGCAAACTGAACTTGCTAAGAAGGCAGCAAAAGCATCTTCCCGATTGTCCTTGTCTTTGCTTCACCCACCTTCTCCTACTGGCAGCCGTAGTCTTTGTCCCCGTAGCCCACAATCTACGCGAACCAATCCTGGTTTTGTTGCCCAGCCTCGAGATTCCCGTCTTGCAGTACCATCACCATTTTGCCAGTCTACAACCTCTAAAGATCCTATTGAGATTCTTGACACTAAACTCACAAGTGACGACAGAGACCCCGAAGAATCCTCAACTGAGGATTCATCAGACAAAGGCACAGACTCGTCATCGGTCGAGTCCACGGCAGAGCAATCCGGAGGAAAGCCAAAGAAGAAAAAAAGAAAGCTTTCGAAACGCAAGAAGGGAAAGGGTTGGGCCAAAGGGAAAAAGAAAGTATGTATATACCACTTAGTTGTCTTTTTGCCTTGTAGTCATGTTTAGTGAACTTAATCCCATTCTTGCAGCGTTGACCAGTTTCAAAAGCCCTTGTCAAAATGGTTGAAAACAATTCCGACATTGAGTTGATCTCCAACCCAAACCCGAAAAAACCTGGCAGATCCAAGCAAACCGCTGAGGAGACCAACAAGCTATTCAGTTACTATGGTGAACCTGAATGGGACAAAGAGAACGTAAGTGTAATCCCAATAAACCTTTGAATCACATATCGCTCACCTTTCTTTCAATTTCCATCTATTGCCATCTATTACTCTCCCTCCCTCTTTGTCTCTCACTCTTGTTATCGTATCCAGCCCAAAGATACTGAACCGAAGTCATGCCCTTGTTTGTGGTGCGTAAGAGCTATCGCAATGGGGCGACCAATCACTTTAACCTCAAAGGTCACCGGGATGGTGCCATTGGACGTAAACCTTGCCGTTCCCAAGACAAAGCGATCGCAGCTGGCGTCAAACTACCTCCAACGCATCAAGAAGAAGTAGAGGCAGCCAAAGGGCACAAGACTTTGCTCCTTGACATGTTTTTGGAGATACCAAAGTTCACTGTTAGGTTGCTGAACTGCATGCTGGTCCTTTGGCTAGTCAGACATGCACTACCTTGGAACCGAATGGCTGACCCGATGCTCATTGCAGCCTTCCAATTTGCTAATCCATCCGCTGTTTTGTACACTCCAGCTTGGGCTGCAAGGGAGGCGATGAAGCTTTACAAAGGTATGCACAATGATGTGATACAAACATTACAGGTCAGTTTTGTAGTTTTATGTTTCTTCTCTTACTACGTGAAGAGCTTTGTCTGACATGATAGAATCACAGAATCTGCCTGGCAAATTCTGCTTGATCCATGACGTATGGACAACCAAGCGAGGTCGACGGGCGTTCATTGGGGTATCAGTATCGTACATCGACAAGAAATGGAAATTCCATGTTCACCATCTTACCCTCAAGTTAGTTGCTTGGAATCATTATGGAGCTCTCCCTGCTCGCCCAGTCGGACGTTTTCTCATTAGGCATGGCCTACACAAAAGAATAGGTCTATCTCTCACATGTCTCTTGGTTTTTCCAACACTAATCTGGTCTTTATTTTGTTTTTGAGTCTCCACATGGTAGCCCCACCGACTCTGGTGGTACCAACAATCTCACTGCGAAAGAATTCAAGGACATGTTTTGATTGGCCGAAGACCCGGTCTATTGGGATTCTAGCCAGCATCAAATTCAATGCTATGCTCATAAGCTGGCTTTGACTGTGAAGGTCTTGCAAGTCCTCAAATCAAATCCGGAGTTTGTAAACCGACTGCGCCAAAAGGACAAAAGCTAGCGTTACTTTTACCAGATCTCCCTAAAAACCACAAACCCGTTCCAACAATCATTCTCAATTCCGGTGATGACTTGATTGAAGACTGTGATGAAGATATTGATGAGCCACCATCCAGAAAAGATGGACTCGAACAGTGTGTTGGAGATGACAAGTCTGAGGTTGACGGTGAAGAAGGCAATGATGCTGATGAAATCGAAGCCACGGAGATTTCATCAGGTGATTCATTTTCAAAATCAATTCACAAGGCTAGTGTTCCATTACCTTCCACGCTCTCTTCTTCATACACACCCAGCTTCTCCATCTCACATGTCACACTCTTGAACAGTGTGCCAAGGTTAACAAAACAATTTCACGCAATGGCCCATTAATGCAACTCTTCCATGCAGTTGCCAAAGAAGAAAGCTACACCGGACCGGGCTTGATTGCTGCACACGGTCAGCGCTGGAACATATATTTGGACATGTTGGAGCGATTGCTCAAGGCCGAAAAGGTACTTAAGTCACATCTGATCAGAAACTAACTGTGCTAGTAACTGACAGTAACTGATGTTCTTTGTTGCAGATTGTCAATCACATGTTGAACGAAGATGAGGACAACAATTTCGATGGTGTATTCATCTCACCTGAAGATTGGAAGATGATTGAGGCTCTTACAAATTTGCTACACGTGGGTAATTTGTTTTTCTCTTGCATCCTGAGGTATCCTTTCCTGATAGTGTATTTATTTGAATCAGATATTCCACACCTCAACTAAGTGCATGGAAGGTGATGCTCCCAATGCAGCATCGGTCTTATTCCAGTACAACACGGTCATTGGTGCCCTTAAAGCCATCAAATCCAACACTCCGTACCCTCGGCTAGCCAGCATGATTGGTATCATGATCATCCGACTTGAAGATTATCAAGAAGAAGCGCTCCATTGTCATGCGATCATCATTGCAACTATGTTGAATCCGAAATTTTGAGGGAAATTCTTCAAAAAGCTTTTCCCTGAACAAAGCGAGTCAGCACACGATGTCTTGAAAGATGTATATGAACATTTACTTCAAGATCAGCCCCCTGCCACATCCCCGACTCCAAAGGTAGCTGAACAATCTGAACCCACGACTCACAACATTTTTAAGGAGCACAACATCTTTGCTTTGCAAACTGACACCAAACAACCTGGTGACGCCAAACTTCAAGCTTATCTTTCCGGTAAATTCATGTGCGACGACAATCAAGATATTTTGGAATGGTGGGCGGTAAATAGATCACTTTCCGCGTCTTGATCTTTTGCTTGTACTGACTGGATGTTTTGCCTTGGCCAGTGTCATGATTGTCATTTTCGCAACTTGGCTTCGCTTGCACGTGACTACCTTTGTTGCGTAGGTACGTCATGTGCCTGTGAGCTCACATTCAGTGCTGCTGCAGATGTTATTACGGCCGATCGAGGTGGATTGGCTTCGCAAACGATTGAGCGCGCTGAGGGACTTTGTGAGTGGCTGAAAAAGCACTTCGTGCCCCCAGGAGACTACGGAGAAGCTATGCGGATTGCAGAGAGGATACTGGGCAGGCAGAAAAAGGTTAAGAAGACGCTTTAGGTATTGGGCCAGAAAATGACTGATCATTCCTATCAAAAAAAGGTTGAGAAGGGCTCCTAAGTGGTTTATTCATGCGGTTTCCCTCTTTGTAACCACCAGTCCTTAACTTCCATCATATCTTGTTAGTATGAAACCAAACGCCGTTGTGCAAGATTTTTTAAAGGAATTTTCACAATTTCTTTCGTTGCGAGAGAGAAAAATTGTGTTGCAGTGAGACTCGGATTACCGCAACACAATACAAACTTTTTGGTGATCATTGCGCTCACAGCAAAGCGCAAGAGAATCATGCAGTGAGTTTCTTAATTAGCAGCGCAATTTTTCGCTTTTTGCACTGCACTTTGTTGCGATTAGGCGTTGACCGTGATCCAGTGCTGGATCTTCCCCTGGGAATAATGCACAACTGGTATGAAGGTGTATTACACCAACATTTTAGAATCCAATGGGATTTTGTCTCCCCTAACAGAGAAGATAAAGTTAAGGCAAAACGTAGAAGGTCAGCTATGGAAATTTTGGACCAACATGCAAAGCGAATGCTTTATGAAGAGGGTATGGGAAATGTATGTGAAGATGTAGATGACAACTCACCCGATGGTGAATTTGAATACGAAGAAGATGAAGAGCTCCATGCGGGATAGAACGGTGGTCTTTTTCCAGAAGGAAATATAACTTCATTTCGAAAGCTCATGAAGGATATCATATTACCAAGCGGCATCACACGATTACCTCCTAACTTAGGTGAATCTAAGCACGGCAAACTGAAAGCGGCTCAATGGCACAGCTTGTTTGCCTAAATCTTCCCGCTTATTGTACTTGATATCTTTGTTTTTGACGTGGAAAATATTCCAGTGAATTTAAATCGAGGTCTGATTTTACTTAATATTGCCGATTTGTGCCAATGCACGTATATTGTCTGTGCAAAATCTGTCACAAAAAAGGATGCAGATTTATTTGAATTCTTCTACAAGAGGTATCACCAAAACCCGCTTAAGATTTTTAGAGACTTTGTAGTAATACCAAACCATCATTATGCTCTTCATATTCCTGAAATGATCAGGCGCTGGGGCCCCTTGAATCAAATCGCTGAGTTTGCTGGTGAGCGATTGATTGGCACATTGCAAAACATTGAGACAAACACACACTTAGGTGCGTTTATTTTGATAACTTACTGATATGTTTGATACAATTGGCTAACCATGTGGTTCCATTTGTCTCAGCCGAGATGGACAAAACGATGATGTGTCAGTTTGGACAACTACAAAGACTGACTGCAAACAATTCAATTGATGACATTCTGACTTCAAATTCCAAGCGTCAAAACTCATCGCTCACAGGAAAGTGGATCGTGTTGCAAGATGAACATTATGATATGTTGCTTGCGGAGATTCAGGTCACTTCACCCCGCATTCGCCATCATCACCACCTTCCTCATCCTCCAAACGCGCAAGTATTCCGTTCTCAAGGCGTCACCAAGTCCAATTGGAAAGTATCCGACCATATTTATGTCTCCGTTCTCAAACCAAACAACATAATCAAGTACAAAAAGGATGGAAAAACGCTATGATACGGCAGATATATATTATTCAGAATCCAACAGGTGGCCATGAGGCCAAATTTCTTGTCAATCCAATTGAAGATTTGTTTTTCAAAGATCGAATGTCCCCGTCTAAACACTTTTGCTACATTGGACATCTTCTCAAGTGTGTGATAGGTAGAGTTCAAGAAACTACACTCTTTGTCTCTCCGCATCAGGTTTCAGTTGTCGCCGCGTATAGACTTTTACCAGACAATACTTTTGGAATTGCTGAAGGTGGCATTGTAATGTGTCCGTGTGACAAGAGATCAAAGTACACGGAATCTTGGAAGATTTCACTTATTGTTATTTACAATCTTTGTTACTTTCCCTGTTATTTCATTGTTCAATATTTTCGGTTTCTTTTTAATTGTGAAATGAATCAACTCCGTTTTCAGTAAGCGCATTGCTCTTTCAAAGCAGAAAACATTGGAATAATTTCAAGTACATCACAAAGCAGAAACTGAGCAAGTACAATGAGACACAACAATAAGACACACTTTGGCTACGCAAGAAACACATAAGAAAAAAAACAGAAAAAACATCAAAAAAAATTTGTTTGTCCTCAAGCAGCTTTGTCATCATCACACAAAGCTCCAAAATCTCCACCTGAAAAAAAATCTGACTTGTCATCGGACATTATGACATCGTCTGTATCATCGTCATTGCCTTCATCAATATCCCCATCACCCACGTAATCGGCTTCGTCCTCATGGTCGTCGTCCGGCACGTATGGAAGCAAGAGGATGTCTAAATATTTGTGGTTGAACGCGGCGTCTCCGAGTTTTTCATCAGGATGGCTTTGGGGAAAGAGTGATTGAGATGCATTGGGTAACAGTGCAACTTGATCTTGTTGGGCCACAAGTCGTTGTTGGCCAGGGTGAAGTGAGCGATACCATTTGGGGTCGTAGAAGTCAATAGGTAAGTTTTTTGGCGCCTTTTTGAAAATGGAAGGAACCAGTTCCTTAGGCAATCGACACGGCCTCTTGTGAATCGTATCTCCCGCAATGTCGGCAGCTTTCTTCATCTCAATGTCAAGTCTTCTCATGAACTTGCTGGCATTTTTTGATTGGTAAGGCAGAGTTTTGCTGATGAGGTAAGATTTCCCAGGGACTTCCTCATCGTCACTGTGTGCAAGGACTTTTTCACGGATCTTTTGGTAGCGGGGAGGAAATTCTTTTGATTTGTTCCATTAAAAAACGCCATTCGAAGTTCACAAAGCTACAACATTGATTGGTATTATTTAGTCAAATGAGGCAGAGTAGACGGTAATGTAGAAGATGTACTCACCCGCTCTCTGTGTTTCTGAATACACTTCTTCACACCATCCACTTGAACTTTTCCAGCTTCCTTCGACTCCGTCTTGAACTTGCGTGTCATGTAATGATGAACATAATGATTGTAAGTATTGATGAATTGAGACATGGCATTGACATAGGACGGGTTGACATTTGCGTGATCATAAGCGCTGGTTGCCATGAGCTGGCAAAAGGTGTTGAGGGCAGTGATTTGGCAAGCTGAATTGTAAAGTGAATCGGGTGAATCATTGAGGTTGGGACACCACACTCAAATTCCCACTTTTGCCAAAACCCCATGGATGTAGAGTATGTAAGTTTGTTCCAGATTGTCCATACCTCGTCCAACCTTTCCGCCAGCGCTTTTCAATGACCTCAACGTGAGTATGTCGTTTTGGGCCACCAAGTACCAGCTGCGAGGGTCGGTAACTGCAGATTTGACTTGTTTGGCAGTGGTGAAGCGAGCGTAGAACTCTGTCAGGAGGCTGGGATCCGGCAGGGGGGGGCATCATTGGCCTTGAATAAACCCCAAAGAATCTTGACATGGATGTATAAAGCCTCCTGTTATGCCAAGTCATAACAAAGTTAGCTTTTCTAAACAAATGGCATAAAAGTGGATACACATGCCTTTGTGCTTTTAAAATCTGCGGGGGTCTCAGACGCTAGCACCTGGAGTGGATGGCGTCTATGTGCAGGCGGGGGTACTGGAGATTCTTTAGGTGTAGCGGGAACTTTTGATTTTCGAGGGTCTTTGCTAGCTGATGGCGAAGGTGTTGAGTAATCATTTTGGAATGACAAAGGTCCTGTCTTCATGCGGTTCCAAGTGGATGATGTGTCTGGAGTTGAGCTGGGGGGGGGGCATTCTTTTTACGCACAGATTGCTTGCCAAGGTCTTTGAAGTTGTTGAGTTGAGTTCGAAGGCCATTTATGATGCCTTTGAACTGGTTGGCTTGCTGCTTCAGGCTGTTGGCCACAAGGGCTGCTACAGCCGCATTGGTGACGGGTGTGGCAGCATCTTGGTTGTTTTGAATATTGTCTTCTTGCATATCTTCAGACTAGGCAGGTTGCTTTTCTTGGGATTGCATGATGAAAAAGGCGCTGGATGGGTTTAATTGCAAAGCTTTCGAAATCAGGAAATCTGTGATGTGTAGTAAAAGAACAATAAAAGGAGGTGAGGATGGGGAAATGCAAAACGTTTGTGCCAAACTACGGCCCTTTTTATAACCGCCATGACTAAGTTTTTTTTGATTTGATCAGGTAATACATAGCCCATTCCCAATCCGTACTGGTATCCAACATTGTGTGGTGACAGAAAAGTGGTATGGCGTTGCTTGGCGTAGGTTTGGTAGAATGGCAGATATCAAGATCTCAGTCGGAGTTCAGGAGTACGTAGTGTGGTCTAGTTCAGGCGTGTGACTAAAAAGTGAAGGGAGGATCAGCCAGGCTCAGTCAGGATAGGCCAGATGAACGAATCCTTACGTAAAGAATTGAGCGAGCCCCTGAAGGGTCCAATAGCAATGTAATAGCAAATGATCACAGGGTGCTGGATTTGATTCAGTGGTGCGATTGACCGATGTTGCAAACCCGAAGCCCATGTCGCAGCGCAAAAGCCGGTGTTGCATGCCAAATATACACATGTAACAAACCGGGGTCAATACAGCGACAAACTGTTGCAACCGTGGATGCGACAGGCTTTTGCCCACGGTGTATGTGCTGTTTGACCGTTCAGCAGCAACAAAGAGGCTATACCGGCTGCTGAGCACGCCAAGAATGGTAATCTGTTTGTGTTACAATAGTGCAGGAGGCAATTCAAGACAAAAGTCTGGCCTGTCCCCCCTGGTGCATTGAGGAAAGCCAAATAAGCAATGTTCTCTTTCAAAGCCTCCAGTATCGTATCAATAATTTGTCTCTGCTCCCCAGTCACAACATTCATCATTGCCTCATGCTTTCACGCACTTATGTCCAGATCAACCATGTTGGTACCAACACTTCTTGCATTGTCAGGCAGTCGTAACTCCAATAATGCTCCTCATCTACTTGAGGTAAACCAACAGCTGATAGAGTTTTTTCCATCGTCGCAAGTATATTTTGCATAAGAAATGAAGCATAGTTTAAAAACCAGTTCCTCATCAGGGAGTGGGATACGGGAACCCATTAAATGTGAGATTTGACCAGATATCCTGAAGGTATAGACGCCGTGTTGCCCAGCCACACTTTTGTCGATTTTTGCTCCAAGCAATGTGAACAACAAAGCTTTGTTGTATTTTTGGACCAGGCTGCAAAAATTTTGAGATTCTATTATCATGAACAATTCAATTTCAGCGGAAGTATTTGACTATATTTGCAGTCAAGGAATGCACCCAATTCTCACCTTCATCTGTTGCAGTCAGAAGTGCTTGATACAATTCAGGCACTTGCTCACCCATGTCCTCCGGAAAATAACGCAACAGTAAATCTACTGCACCCTGTGGCAACAGTTTGAATAAGTTGCGCTCAAGTGATTCGCATCTTTTAGACAATGCTCAAGTTTCTATCTAAAAGCTCCCCAGCTCGCGCAATGATTGTCTTGTGGCCCTATGTTAAAAGGTATTTTGTTTGGGAAGCGCTGTATCAATGATTCCTCACTTTCATGTGCCTCCAAAGGTATTGCCGCACTTCTCACACATGCTCTTGGAGGCATACTTATTATCTGACCTTGTAACATAAGGAAATAAACATTCATCAACATTCCATTAAATCATCATCTATACCATGACTTACGTAAGGGTTTGGAATGTATTTTGTAAACCCCTTGATCTCAGTGTAACCAGTTTTCTGTCTAGCTTTGAGAATAAAACCTTGTTACACTTGGTGCTGGGGAATTTTGAACCAATCCAGGGAAAAAATGTTGGTCAAATTTTCTCAATCACAGAATTCTTCTTTGTGACATTACCCAAACAATTTATCAAATAACACAAAATGACACTGGCTTGCTGCTTTTACAATAACCTCGTGTCTGAAAATTGCTCAAATCTAAGCAAGGGGAAAAATACTAATTAGCCAAAAAAACACCAATGGTTTGTCCAAATCTGTCCCTTTGCCTTACCTGTAACACACTGTTTGATTCTATGAAGGGCTTCCCTGGTAATATTTGTCTACTTCCACATTAAAACCCAGTTATTTAAATCAACATTAAAGCTAAACATGTCCATGCCACTGAGTTAGATAATGAGAATCAATGACAAAAGTCAGATCTGATTGACCCACAAACAAAGATGTAAGCAGACACTACATCAATATCCCAACTGCCAAGATACCATTAGCAAAATTGCCACCTTTAACAACAAACAAAAAACCAAATCTTGTTCGACAAAACCAACAATTAATTGTTCTTTATACTATGTGATTTGTTTGTCAATTATATTTCTGCTACTCCTGTTAAGAAAGATAAACAACAATTTGGTTCAGGCCACCAATCATGGATTCCAAGGTCATACCTTTATTCAGCAGAACAAACTTATAAGTAGATCCTCCAACAAAATTATTAAGCAATCTTATGATGAAGTCCACGTAGCAGATTGACAGTCTTTTATTTGTGTTAAGATAATTCGGATGAAGAAGAAGAAGCGAGCGTAGTAATTGTTATTTAGAACCTATCTAAATCCAAAACACCAATCAAGAAAAAGGTTTATCATTTACCTGCAAACTCGTAGGTACTGCTCTTCAAAACAGATAACAATCAATGTATCACTATAATACTATAATTAAGATTGAGTCCGATCCAATAAAATTGACAAAGACCGCAGTAATCACAGAATCACAGTATCACAGTAATAATGGACTTGGATTATTGTCCACTCCAATGCAACCAAGCACTATATATATATCATTCAGGTGGCCACAGAGTCTGATGTTTAAATAGACATAATTGGGTCTATGGAAACCTCAATCCACCCTTATAAACTTCTTATCTTCGCTTGGTCCAACCGCTGAATTCCAAGCAGTCATACCCGCCGGTTAAGGCAATAAGAACATTGATAACCAAAATCCACTGACGTGTTACTTCACTGAGCAAGTCAAATTACTACACTTCCTGAAATTGATGTGAACTCATCTAGCAACCTCCGTAAGGCGCTACCCTCCCCTTTCCCATGCTGCTAATTTTGACCACTGGTTGTGTCCAACCAATCACACTCGCATCCCCAAGCAAAAGGAAATCAAACTAATTTGAATGTTATTACGGACACCATTTCACGGTGAATTCCTTGTTGCGGTTGCTAATACCTTGGTTGTAGTGGTGATTCCAAAACTGAAACAGCCAAAGTGTAAGCGTCCTTGTTCTTTCTCGCAAAACTTGACATTATCAGTTTTTTGATACCCTTACATTGCATTCCGCAAATTCACCCATGTCAAACTTTTGTGATTGTGAATTTGTTGGCATAGGGCATTGACTTGGAAGTTTTGGTTTTCAAATCAAAAGTCACGATACGCATATTGTCAAGACACAATACAGTAGCAATTCAGTACGTATTCTTTGACAATTGTGTCCTCATTGGCTCTTCAAGTCAACATACCTCTGAATATTGCAGTTTTGATATTCAGATCCTGATCCATTTTTTGACACTTGCTTAACACAATTTTTGCAGTAAATTCAAGTCTATCCAGGGTGGATATCTGACCATCCGTCCTGTGCACTATTTAATACAGAACTGCTTTATGAATTTCATCAAAGTGCGAACACGAGATTTGAAGACGCAAATGAACTATCATTTAGTTTCTTACTGTTATTGATTTTCATATAAAATTCTTTATTTGACAAATACACAACAATCAGTGACCAATTAATCAAGTTTTATACATCCTATCTTGATTGGTCTTTCCCGTATCCCCAACCATCATTCACAAAAAAATCTTCAGGATACGTATGGATCGGTCATTCATGAGGTCGAAAACAGTGGCTGTGATTGATCAAGACAGGTTCATACTTTTCAACGTCTGGCTCTTATCATTGCTAAACATTCGCACTGTCAGATTGGAGCCTCATTTGCTGATTGTTAGAAAGGAAGAAGTTGTCGAGCTCATAATTGATTATGTTTCAAAATGGGTTAATCATTCAAAAATTTGTGGCCTATCCTGCGGTACAATATATATGGTTACACAATGGTACATCGACTGATTTAAAGCATGATCAGAACAACAGATTTCTGATCAAAATCTGTAGTTTAGAACCCGGAGTCTGTCTTTCAATTGCTACGTCAATATGCCCAAAGCACAAATCAACTTGATTGGAACAATTTCTATAGAATAAAACAAATTACGCCCAATTAACACACAATGTTACAAACACATTCAATTTACAGGTTGTTGTTAGCTGTTGTGGTTCAATTTGCCCAAAATGAAACAACTCTTCTTGATTTCGATAAATTTAAGACATAAACAAATGTGAAACAATTATTTTGGTAGCCTCCTGGACCATAAAGTTGCAAACTTATCAAAAGGTTTTTGAATTCAAGCATTAACCAAAATGTCCCTACTCCGGTTAGAACAGTTTAACCCCAGCTAGATTAAGCAGCTTGGGGCCCTGACTCTATAACCTGTGACGTGGAAGCCTCAAGAGAGTCGTGCCTTTTTGGATGAGGCAACAAAGCCATGCTACAATAAGTCTGTGTCAAGATAAATGTTGAGAATTTTTTTGCAACAAACTTACACTATTTGACCTCAGATATTGTCCCTTCTTATATTGAAGTCACACGCACAATTAAGTGATTTGACTCATCACCCAAGCACTGCATTCCTAGAGAAGGCAAACTGTATGAGTATCAATGCAGGTTGAATTTAAGACCTTGGCATTCAACCACTACTTACCAAGATTTCATTGTAAGTCATTTTGCTCCTGAAGTGGCAAGTCAATTTTTGTCTTGCAAAAGCTGCAACCAAATCATTGCCTTGAATATCTTCGCCATTCATTGTCATAACAATTATGTGTGAGGTTAATAGGTCAGGAGTCAGGATTTTTTTCCATCACAATCAACAATGTTTCCCAGTTTCCTTTTGACTCCACATAGTT